TAAAAAAAGTTGTGTTTTTTACACCTAACAATATGCCGTTTAGAAAGTTTTAAAATTCCGGGTAGTTCCGGAGATATCCGGAAAAACCCGAAATTTCGTAAAATCGTTTTAATTTTATTTCTGGCTTTATTTGAAAACGAATTTTAAAATAAATTGCATATTTACATTGCCACTTTCTCCGCTATATCCCATGGCATTAGCATTTTTGCAATCCGACGTTGTGTCTTCAAGGGATCATCATTAGGTTAATTTTTTTAAATACGTCGCTGCTATTTTCATGACAAAATCTAAAGTCTTTTTAAAGGTTAAAAGTGACCTCTACAAAAGTTGTACATTTTTGCATGATCTACAACTTTTGTATTGGATAATTTTTTGTTTGATGTCAACTTTTGCCAGAAATCCCAATGATACAATTTTTCACAAATTTTAAACCCCCCAAATCAATCCTCCGTCACTCCTGCTCACGCATTTATTTTTTTTAGGTTTATTATAAACCCCTTTAGCATTTCCTCTTATAAAAGTCCAGATAACAATTTTTTTTTCTCCAAGTGTAAATTGGGTGGACTATTTTTTTTAAATTCCTAATGATTTATTTATGTTAGTAGGGTAAGTTGGAGAGTTCTAATCCACCCCCCCACCTCTCNCACTTTTTAAAAAGATCCATAAACAACTTCCAATTTCATCCGGTCCTCTCTTCCATATTTACTCATGCCATACATAGCAATAGCCTTGATTGCTGCCTAAATCATAAATTGTAAAGTGCGATTTTACTTTTATAATAAAAATCGCTGACTTCTGACTTGGGCGTTACTAACACCTTCTGCAAATCGAAGCATGCTGTTATTAGGGATTTATCATTTTTCGACAATTCTTTATCAATGTCTTTCAGATTTCGAACCGCGATTTTGTTTAAATTATGATTATTATAATCATAATTTTTTCTGTTCTTTTCTCGGGATCTGTATTCTTATAGGCACTACGCACGGAATCTTTTTTTGGCTTAAAGAAAGCTATATTAAATTTCGAATTTTCTCGTTTTTCCTCCAGGTCCACGGCTTATAGATAAAGGAGTTATCAGTTTAAAGGGCTTACGGTTTGGAATATATATTTATTTCTTTCTTTCTTTCCTGTACACTGTTTATAGGGGTATAGGGCAAAATAATAAAATTTGACCTGGGAAAAAACCCATTTCTACAAAAGATTCAATTTTCATTTCTACATTCTTCTTTTTTCTTTTCAATTTACGGTGGCTATATCTCAAGAATTTACAAAAAAAAATTCTTATACTTTTGGCGACTCGTTAGTCGTTTGGGGGCCTATCTTCCAAAATAAGTCGGGTTTTGCCGACTTCCCGACCTGGCCAGACCGGGCCTGTTACTTACAAATAGCCACCGTCAGGAAAGCACTTTAAAATTCCGCAATATAAAAATCGTATGTTTACGTGTAGGTAACAATAATTCAAAACAAATAAATAGGAATTGTTATTCGTGTGGGAAATGGTCTCATTTGAGAAGAGATTGGGATTTCAGAAAAAAGGTACGCAGATTGTTTAATAAATTATGGAGGTTTTACCTCAAAAATCGAAAGATCACAATTGGTGAAAAATAAAGAGTACCTGCATTTGATAAATTCGACAATAAAAGAAAATTCTGTTCTCTAAAATTTTAATTAATAATCAAAATTATACTATTTTGTAGATTTTGGAAGTAGTTGCTTCATCATACAGTTATAAAGCTTCGTTATGTTGTCTTTTCTAAAGGCATACGGCTTGAGCATGAAATTACCAGTGTTTTTTTTTTCTGGAAATTAAAATTATTTACCTGGGTTGTCAACAAATTCAGGACTAAGGCGATGAAAATTAAAAATGGATGTTCTTATCTTCTGCTGATTATCAATGCTTTTATGAAATTCATTTTACCTGATACCAGAATGTCTAGGGTCATCGATGACTTAAAAGGTATGTTCGCTATTTTTGGGAATCCTCATAGGATAACAATTATTGGCGCAGGAAAGACGTTTATTTCTAAGTTTTTGAGAAAACAAAATGTTTTGGTTTATTTACAACAGTCATTGGTATGGCATGTAGAAACGAACAGTTGGAAACAGAGATAAAGAGAAGTTGGAATTGTACAATAATACAATGAATAAAATGACTACTACAAACTACTGCAGAATTGCAGAATTGACGTTTAAAATTCTTGATATTACTAAACTTCCCATAGATGTTGCAGAGTGGTGGAAGAAAAACGGGCGGAACAAAATGATTGCTTCAATAGAAAGAGAAGCTCTGGTGTATCATTCAAAATTGGAGAAATAGTGCTAACTTGAATCTCTCGTTTTCCAGCCAATGACAATCAAAATAAAAAATTGTCAAGAAGTATTTTGGAAATCTTACCCAATGATCGGTTTAAGGTTACTCGACAAGGTGACAAATTCTTTATGAAGTCGAGGTTTCTCTTGCCAATATCAAGACAATAATTCCTTCCTGTAAGTATTGGCTAAGAATTTGTTCAAAAATGATCTGTTTCATGACTCTGAACTACCCAACAGATTGCTTGAATGCCGCTTCCACTTCATTACGTTCAGAGTGGTCGATTCTATACTGCAAGTTATCCAATATATATTGCTGAACTGGTATTTTCTTAAAGCTACTCGTCACTTTCAAATACAGCCTTGGGTGCTTGTACTGAGCCGCACTACACACTCACGACACTCATTCTTATGTTTTACATATTGTGTTCTAATGTCAAAAGATTCCACTTACTGAATCTATTTATTCTCACCACTGCCTGCTTAGTGCTACCACATATTAGTATTCTAAGCTGCTTTCAGACTATCCATAACATATTTAATTTAGTTGCAAATTTGGCAAAAAAGTGAAGTTTAGCAGTCACACATGCAACAAGTACCTATACCTTTTTAAAGGAAATAAATTGCCATTGCAAAAAGCATGTAGGTACGTTTTCTTAAAATCTTTACCAACAAAAAATACATCAAAAAAACCAGAAGAATGGCGCATTATTAGTAACCTCTATCTTTTAGTAAAACATTTTAAAGAGCAAAATTAAAATAAAGTACCTAAATAATTCTAAATCAGTTTGTTTTCACCAAAGGAAGTTATTCTGGAATGTTTATGGCCGTTTACTTTCCTACGCCGTCTATGATTTGTATTATTTTTCCTTGAACACCGTATATAACTGTGCTCCCTTACCTTATTTTTCACTCTGAAACATAGACCACTCTGAAATGATGTCCTATTTCCAAGAAAGTGTGATACAAATTTTACAAGAAAATAGTATGTAATACAATGGCATATACCTACATATATAAAACTTTATATTAAAATTAAATACACAATATTGAGGACATTTGAGGTTACAAACGAATATGGGATATAAGTTACATATGAAATTTAATTGTAATATAGTATTTATGAAAATATTCTGTTTCACTGTTCACCGTCTTCTGTTTACTGGGTCATTAACACTGAAATTTACAAACTAAACACAATGCTTAAAAAAAGTGACAAATACTTTTTATTAAAAACTCATAATTAGTAAGTATTTTTATTTATTTTTTAGGGACATTTCACATATCTACAAAAACTATTATTTTAAAACGTATCTCCAGATTAGTTTTACTATCAATTAGTAACATACTATATATAGGTACATATTATTATAATTCATAATGCATATTTTCCGCATACCAATATTTATTTAATAAATCATGCAAAAATATATCTATATTAAAAATTACATTTTTTTTTAAATTTAATCTTCAACGTTTCATCCGCATTGACATCAAAAAAATATGGTGACATTAAAATAGCCTATCGCAAAGTCATACAATAAAGGCAAGAGTTTTTCGGGTTATGTCGTTTCCCGTGCACCTGTTCGCCGACAGTTACAGAATTACCTATCACTTCATCCTTAGCCTTAGTACAGTAATGGACTTAGCTAGGAATCTTTCACCTGCCCTTATTATTCTCGGACTAGGCTCTGTGGGGGTAGGCCCGCCGGTATCAAAACCCTTAGGTTCGGCCTGATGTTCATTTTGGTTCCTGTTGGTTCAAGATTGTTAAGATCGAACTCACTCTTCAGACCGTAGTGGTCCTCTGAGACGTTCCGTAGTGGCTTCTGTAATACAAAAATGTTCATCAAATCACTCACTAATCGTTACTGGTGTTGAATGCGAATATTGCGAATGCAACTATAACGAGCGATCAGTAAGACAAGTTTTTTCCCAAATAGAATAGACTAAAACTCCGCCCCTTAGATACGGGCATGAATTCTTATGAACTCAAGATAAATTTAATAAAAGCATGAATATTCAGGTATATACATATTATGTTAAAATGACCCAACCTAATTTGATTGCCCATTAAATGCGAAATTCTAGGAATTTCTCGTCCTCCTTTAGTTAACAACTACAACTATTATATTTAACTTTATAATAGTATATTACGTAATAAGTGTTGTAAAAAGCATTTTACGCACGAATGGAAAAGCTATGAGTGCGTATAATTGCATTACACCACGTATTACGTACTACACTTTACCTACGACCACTACTGTAAATACTTAAAAACACACCGTCTGCGATCAATGTAAGATTCCTATATTACGTACGGTAAAAAAATCGCACAGCTTGGTAAAAAAATCGTACAGTTTTCCTAGCAACCACCTAGCAACGGTGAATACAAACAGTATTGTATTGATACGTATTCGAGTAGCGGCCAAACGAAGCGATTTTGGATATAATAGGTGAATAAGTCTAAATCTACCTATTTTGAGAACACGAATCTGTGGTCTTCCGTTGTACACGTTATTCTGGGACACCCTGTACAATACAAGAATAGTAGTGAAATAGCCATGTTTTATTTACCTGAGATTTCAGTCATATGTGATCACACTACCGCAACCGTGATTTCACCTAAATTGGAACTTGTCACTTTTATGACAATTGACAGCTCTAAATTTGAATTGAATTGAAAGTTGAAACAGCTTGTTCATATCAACGGTCAGTGAAATGTGAATTGCTTTATTTAATTAATTTAATAAAATCGTAAATAATTGGTTATAATGGATCAAATATTAACATTTGATAAAAGTTTACAACAGCGTTTACAAGAATTTAGAGATGTTTTATCTGGATATGAAGTACTGCCAGTTACCTTAATAAAAAAAGAGTGGACATTTTATCTAGAATTAACAGTAGATCCTAGTGGTTGGCAAGCTGTTTGGAAAATACCTCGCTTAATATGTGAACTTTTAAATATACCTTTTCCATCCGTCATACTAGTTTTGGTCTTGAATGTAGATTACCAAGACTTATCGGGTCTTGTCAGAGTTTTGGCAGTTCAAGATGATATATCGATTTCAGAAAAACATTGTGTGCCACTTTCTCAACTATGGCCAACAAAGGAACAAGATAAAAGTGTAGCTTTAAATATGCAATCAACTGCAAATGCTTTAGATATGTTACGTTTCTTCTATACTCATATTTATATGCCTTGGGATAATGATGATGACGATTCTGTGGACTGGAAAAGTAAACATTTGGAAAGTAGATTGAGATTATATTATGATATGAAAAATGGCATTATTCCTAGAGCAACAGCGGAATACATTCATTCTTTATTAACCGAAGCACGGAGATTAAATAGTAAGAAAGAATACATTGAATCTCAGTTATCTGAGGATGAAGATATAGATTATGATATTAGTGAGTACTTAAAAGAAACTTAAAACCAAATTACCTTTATAATACCTTTTATTTGTCGATCTTATTTGATGCTTATAAATAAGTACAATTTTTTAAACAATTATAATTTTTAGGTAACAGCAATAACAAGAAAGTAGAAACTCTTATGGAAATTCATGTGAGATTATTAGAAATAAAAAGTGAGATTGACCTAGTCGAAAACCCGATTTTAAGAAATGTTGTGATAAAAAAACAGACAGAATTGATTAGTGCAAGAGATAATAAAAAGCAACAGATATGGTTGATTTTTGATGAAGGGACTGTAGATAATTATATCAGTTTCCTAGAAAAAGTTAAAACACATTATCCTTCAGAATCTTTAATGTTTGCTACTAGTTTAGCATCTAAGTTGGAGACCTCAAATTCTAGAGATATTTTTATTTTAAATGAATCCCAACATGTAATACGCACCACAGGGGCGTTAGAGAAAGGTGGCATTCTAAAGGGGATTGGATTAAGGGAAAATATTATATTAAGCTCAAAAATTGAAGATGTTATGTTAGACTTCATAGGAGAAACAGTACTGATAGAAAACATAACAATAGATGCTAGATTTGCGCAGTGTGCTATCTTGGTGCGTAGCGGAAAAGGAATTTTAAAAAATTGTAAAATTATCGGGGATGGAGCCTCTTCAACTCATCAAGGAATAATAGTTTTAGCATCGGCATTGGTTGAAATTATAGATTGTGAAATTACTGGATTTTGTACTTCAATCGTTGGTAATAGTGGATCGACCATTTTATTGCAGAGTACTGAAATTCACAATGTTAATTATGGTATGAAAATTTATGATAAATGCATGGCAAATGTAAAAAAATCTGTATTCCGGGACTGTCAAGAATATGGAATTGTCGTAGAAACTGAAGATAACTTGAATATTGACTCTAGAAAAATTGGAAATTTTGAAACCTTGAATATGTAAGTATTAACCTCAGAGTTAGTAAGCAACAGTTATTTATTATAATGCTTCAATATAAAAGGTGCTTTTAAAAATGCTTTATCCTAAAAGTAAATTAACTTAACATGAAACTAAATTTTTAATTAAAAAAATACCTATTTCTATGAAGAGACGACAGAACTATTTTTTTTAGATGTACCTCCGGATACACCACTTCAATTTTACAAACTATGAAAAACAACTTTATGTTTTTATTAACAGTAGATATATATTTTTTAATTATCAAAACTTTTTAAATAATAATAAAAACATTACCAACATAGTCGTAAGTGCAAATGCACATGAAATATGTTATCACCAAAAAAAATTTGGTATATAACAAAATTTTGTATTGATTTTGATTTTTTAAATGTTACTAGCAAATTGGATTTATTTATTTATTCATTTATATTATGAAAATTCCCGTTACACAAGTTGATAAACTAAATTATATAAAAAAAATCTCGAATGCTAATTTGAATAATCTCTACATATTGCTTAAATTAAAAAATAATCAAATTTATAACTATTTACATTCTGAGATAAATAAGGTGAAATTGCCCAAAAATAGAAAATAATGCCAATGATCCTAGTGTATGATTAATTGTCACCTATACTATTATTTATTTAGTATGCAGTAAGAAAAGCCAAGAATAATGCAAACTACTTTAACCAGCCCTAATTCATGGGACAAAAAATAATTGTGTTTGATTTTTCCACCTGTGAAAAAAAGTTAATAGAATAACCCCTTATACCAAAAGGATCAGTCAAGGGTTAATAGTTGCCTAACTAAAAATCTCACACAAAAAAAGTAGACGAAAAAGAATTGAAAATACACATCACTATATATCACACACTTCAATATGTTGTTGATTATTCAAAAATGAATTTGTTTTCAAAACTGAGAATTAAGTTTTTGTTTTGTGTTAGTATTAACAGTTTAAATTTGTTCATTTATCTGCTTTCACAGCTAGATATGTAATGTCTATTCTATTATTACTTCTTATTTTGTATCTGTAGGGTCCTTGCTGACCTTGCTTGAAACACATATTTCACCATTTAATAAAATATTGAGATCTCTTAAAATTTTAGAGAAGGAAAATAATACTATGAAAAGAAAATTAGAAAAGACCGCATTTAGATGGTGAAAGATGTGTTTCAAATTACTTTGTGTATTTGAATCCTTGTTGGCTACATATACTAAAAGGAGAAGTAAGTGATAATAGAATAAACCTTATATGACATCTCTAGCTATGGAAGCAGATAAACAAATTTAAACTGTTACAACTTATTTAGAAGGAAAACATTATTCTCAGTTCTGAGAATGAAAACAGATTGATTTTCGAACCATCACCAACTTTTTGAAGTATGTAATACCTGTATAGTGATGTGTATTTTTTAATTTTTATTTATCTGCTCGATTTTTGGTTAGGCAGAACTACATATTTACATAAAAATAATTCTTGGCTGATGCTTTTGGTGTAAAGGTTTATTTGATTATGTGTTTTTCACAATTGTCAAAATACAAAATAGAAGAAAAAACTAAAATTATACCACAAATAATTAATTTAGTCATAGTAAAATTTTTCCAAAATTGATAAACTACTTTACTACTACTTGCATTTTTTTTTCAGAGTTCCAGATATGCAGTCAGAAGGAATTAAAGGTACAAACAATAAAAAGGGTGATGTCATTATAAATAAGAAGCATAAAATAAAACCCATGGAAGATTTATTTTCCGACCCAGATTTTGACCCAACGATAATTGAATCTTCAGAGGATGAGGAAATGGAAGTTAATGGAACAGTTATAGAAAAGAAATCTGATACTTTAGCATAGTTCTTATTATTGGTAAATTTTTTTATTTTTTATAAATTTTTATTTGTTATAGGTAAAATAAATGTTTATTTATCCAAATCTGAAGCAACAACCTACAGCTTTTGAAATCCATCTTTTATTATCATTTTGTGTAAGGAAATACTTTATATGATTTTTAATACACTTGATTTTCTTTGACATTTTATGTAAATTTGATAATATCTTAATATTGTTGGTTACGCTAACTAAAAAACATTTCAGAAAGTGAAAAATATATCTAGTAAATAGTTAAGATGATTCATCAAGAAAGTCGCCAGGCATAAGTATACCAGTTTCAAACTTATTCTTATCAGTAAGCCATAGGTGAGACAACTAACAAATTTAACTATTTGGAAGTCCACATACAGACAATTTTGAGTGTGGGTAACTTATAATAACTATAAATCATATGTCACGTTAAGTGTAATGCCTACTGGAAAAAAACGTTTTGTACCTACTAACATAAAGAGGCCTGTAGTTGCGATGAAAGCATGACTAGTATGAATGAAATTTGTAACTAATGATATTGTGGGAAAAAACTACTCCATGGGCTATATGCACCGACGCATTGATTTATACTACCAATATCTAGTAAATAACCAAGATTATTCATGAATAAAATCTGTTGACATAGACCATTTCGAACTTATTAGTTCTCGTCAATATACCATAGGTATATTGCCTAAATTTATATAGCTTCTGTTTAAGTTACACCCTCTATACAGACCGATTCAGAACTTATCAGAAAAAATATTTTGAATGTACAGTGGACTCTTACAAATACAATTTTGTAAAAAAGAAATCAAAAAGGGCAGTTCGAAAATAATTTAAAAATAAATTTCTGCACGGCACTGGAAACTAGTTCACTGTAAAACCTGACCTTCCATAATGCAACCAGCATGGCGGCAAAGTGATAAAAACGGACAAAAACTTTTGGAAAGAATGAATTTTATAGCACCTATTTTATATCAACAAACTCGACTACTTTTGCCTCTATTATTATTAATTAATAAAATTAATTTATGATTTTAAATAATAAAATAATTTGACATACCTGATGTTACAACAGCTGTTTAAAATTTTGTCCACCGACGTGTAAATACATTTGGGTCTGTCTTACTCAGTTTCTACGAACTAACACAAATGTTGTCTTGTTTCACTATAACACAAATGCTTCACCATAATAGAAATGTTGTCTTGCTTCACCATAAATTAAAATGATACCCATCAACTCCGAGTTACTATACACGCAAGCCATTTTTGATACTAACTACTAAAAAACTTTTGTAAACACTATCGCAACGACGATTGTAAAATCGGATTTCAGTATTTGGAGTCGCTAGCCACATGGCTCTCCACGCTATTGCGAATGACACTAGAGACTACAGTTGTCCAAGTATGTAATGGCTGAAATTACAACTTTAATAATTTTTTTCTCAGAAACTAAGGATTTTACAAAACAATTTTACGATATTGACTCCATTTCTCATGCTGCGTCTTTCCCAAATTCTTTTGGATAAGTTGCGAATCACCCTGTATAATATAAACTACTTTTTAAACGAGACGTGTTGTATGAAAACACAAAACACAGCATAAAAAGAGTAAATTAAATCACAACAGCTTTCTGATCTGATTGCAGTCGAGAAAATTCTGCACTTTAGTTAGTTTTTTTTACAATAAAACAATTGTAGTCAAGCCAATATCATTCAGGCAGCCATAATTCATGAAACTGACTGAACTGCAATTGCTAGTCACACATACTTAGCTGTTTACAGCTAAATTGTACCATTGAATTTATTAACTACTTTTTGGAAGGTTATCGGTAATCGGTGAGGTGAACTAACTCTAGCTCAAGCATTAAGGTTCATTTCAGTGCCTATAGGTATTGCCGGAAAATATACGGGATCGTATAGTATCATAAGCTGTAATACCGGTACAAAATATTGAGTATCAGAATGAAAAAAAAAATGGTACTCAAAAAAATCGTGCCGTGAATCTCTTCCACTCCTCGGGCTTACAGCTTACAGCTCTTCCATTTGTTTTGGACTTTATAGTTTAAACTAAAGTAGCCCATCAGAAATTAAGTGAATTGTCGAATCATACTACAAAAATATCTGCCAATAATTTATTTGATTTAAAAAAATTTACATTTAAAACTAATTTAAAAACAACATTTAACATTAATTTACAAACAGTTAATAAGTTAATAAGAAACAAGAAAGAAAATGCATTAAATGCGAAAAACTAGGGAAATTCAGTTCCACTAAAATTTACTTAGTTTTTAAAGAAGAAACCTAATAGACAATAAATACATTTAATGATAATTAAAGCATTAATTATTGAAAGAATAATCGAAAATAAATAAACACAACAGTATGAAATTGGGACGACCTTAGAACTAAAAGTACATAAAAATACAAAAAAATTAAAAAAGCCATTTAAAAAAAATTAAATAAAATATGATAGAACTTAAATATTGATAATAAATGCCCTGTTTAATGGCCTCTTAACAAAATATTTACACTATACAACTTTAAACTGCCTTAAAAATAACACCCTTACAATAAACAATAATCCATAATTATGATATGGAAGACATAAAATTAACTTAAAGATTTGTAATATCTTTACAAACTAGTAGTTTTAAGTAATCTTTCATATTTTAGTAAAGCTAGAAAATATTATTACTCAATCAACTCTTAGAAAATAATTATTCCGGTAAAACTACTAGCGCCTATGCCTTTCTATTATTTATACATTCCGAAAATATTCTTTATTCTTACAAACCCTGCATACGATACACATTTTATTAATAAGGATGTATTTATATAAGACACTGTTAATTCATATTTGTACTTACTTAATACAAAACAAACAATTTATACAATGAAAAAATAAAATAAGTGATTGTCTGTACTTAAAACTTACGGTCTAATAAAAAAATATTTAAAATCTTTTCATGTATCAACATCAAAACAAGTTTTTCGTTTCGTTTCTTTAGAATTACACTGGTGTTATTTAATTGCTTAATAAATATTTTAACAGTCTTCAATTTGAGAATCTTTATGTATTTTAATGTACATTAAAACTGTACATTATAATGTGCTAAGGGCAATTCGGCTCGCTTGAAACACACCTTCTTAAGATGGAAGTATCGAGATTCATTCTGGATGCCAACAGATAATTATCATCACCAATGGGGGCAGCTCTGTAAATAATGTGAAACATAAATTGTAGAGCCTTCATAAATGACTAAAAATCACGTGACCAGTAAATTTATTTACTTCACATTGGCAATTACGTTTCTGCAATATTAAAAATGATGACAACCATAAGATAGATTACATTAAATCACGACATTCTGTTCACTGGATGGTTATTGATGTAATTTTTCAGATTTTATTCAACCAACCAGCGGCGGCATTATCTCAAGTGTAGATATAATGGTTTGTCATTGTTGATTGGTGATGCTAAGATTTAGGGAATTTTAGTTACTAGTAACAAACGTGCAATGTTGGTTGCCTAAGCTTGGGTCATGTGGCTTGTAATCATTTATGTAAGTTCTGTATTATTTTAAAAGGCGTACTCAAAAAAAAAGTATTTGCTACAGGAATTACTTTTTCAAATACAAAAAAAAATCCCTCATTTTTCATAGCCAATTCAAGAAATAATGATAAAATTCAATAAAATACAATATACAGGATAATCACCTTCAACAAAATTTTTTTTAAACATGGTTGGCCGTGTACAGGCTAAATTAGACTACAAATTAATTAGTCAAGCTATATTGTGTTTCAAAAATAAAGGTATCCAAGTTATATATTTTTTAAATAAATAATACTGTTTTTTGCATTTTTTTAACCAAAATATAACCAATTTTAATAAATGTTTATTACATTTCGTTTTTGAGATACTTCAATTTCTTTACAAAAGCAGAATTGAAATAAAAATCAAATACAGTAGAACCTCGATTATCCGGGCCAGCCGGGACTGAATTGTTGCTGGATAATCGAAATAACGCTCAAACTCAGCAATTTTGCAAAAAATATGAACTTTATTACACATACCTATTACATACATTTGCAATGTAGTTTCCAAGTTTTTTATTTTAAAGTAAGTTGAATACATGGAAAATTTTTCCAAAACTACATTTCGCAAAAGGAAATTTATATAAATTTTGCCCCAACCTACACCACTAATTACTTTACTTTACTATTAAATTATGTGTCCATTCAACATGAACTATACCTGTAACTTTTTATTGTAAATCGTTTTGGAAAATAACCAGGCAATCCAATGACATGTCAAATTTTTAAGCAATATGGCGCCGATGGCAGACACGTTGTTTACATTGAGAATGCATTGTAGTCAGTCCAGAAGTTTTTAGTTAAAAGCGTTTAATACGAGTTTTTTGTAAGGAATTATTCATGTATTTTATTTAAGGAAGTGTTCATCTTGTCTTTTACTGAATTGTGTCGCAACGATATGTATTACTAATGCCGGTAACATGCATAGTAGTGGGTTGTGGAAGTCATGGAAATCGAGACCAAATTAGCTTTCATTGTTTACCTGACGTAGTGAATTCTAAATATTTTCCTCATTTAAATGATTTATTGAGAAAACGGCGCCAAACATGGATATATAAAAGAAAATTACTAGGAAATACAAACGAAAATAGAATGGAATTATACTTTTTAAAAATCAAGAAAAATTGTTAGGTACTATCAAGAATTTTTACAATGATATCAGTACATTCCAATTCCTTAATTTATGTATTTTTTATTATAATGCCGTTACATTAATTAATATTCTTATATTAGCTTCTTTAAATAATCACTCTGCATATTGATTGACAATAACAAAGACACCTAACTACAATCCACGAAACACTCATTATACAGTCAATGTTCAAAAAAACAAAGCCAAGCCAACAGAAAAACCCAAACTCTTAACAAAACACACAAGTTTATATGAATCAAACAAATGTTTGCCCTCGACGCCATATTGAATTCCAATTTTGTCACGTGGTTTGGATTGCCTAATTGCGTTGTGCATAACCTCCTCTATAACTGCATATTCTTGGATTGTTGATACCTCATTTAGTTTTCATTTGAGTGCAACGTGTTTAAGTGTTAGTGACGAATTTTTAAATGTGCGATTTTCTGGAACGTTGCATATTTTACATGAAACTCGATCCAATATCAAAGTGATGCTCATTGTTCTTTTTCAGCTTTAATGGAATTGTGCATTTTAAATCCTTGCCTCAAGGTGAAACAGTGAACCGTATTTACTGGCAAGGCGTTTTACAAATCCATAAAAAGAGACCAGAGGTGTGGCAAGACAACTCAAGGTTCTTGCACCATGACAATGCATCCGTACGCTCAGCTTTGTCAATTTGTCAGCTTTGTACTAAAAATCAGATTACTGTCCTCCCTCTCCCTCCTTAACCACCAGACCTGCCCATTGCGATTTTTTATTTCCAAAATTAAAATCAGTGCCTTTTCAGACTGACACCAAAGCAAATTNCAATCCACGAAACACTCATTATACAGTCAATGTTCAAAAAAACAAAGCCAAGCCAACAGAAAAACCCAAACTCTTAACAAAACACACAAGTTTATATGAATCAAACAAATGTTTGCCCTCGACGCCATATTGAATTCCAATTTTGTCACGTGGTTTGGATTGCCTAATTGCGTTGTGCATAACCTCCTCTATAACTGCATATTCTTGGATTGTTGATACCTCATTTAGTTTTCATTTGAGTGCAACGTGTTTAAGTGTTAGTGACGAATTTTTAAATGTGCGATTTTCTGGAACGTTGCATATTTTACATGAAACTCGATCCAATATCAAAGTGATGCTCATTGTTCTTTTTCAGCTTTAATGGAATTGTGCATTTTAAATCCTTGCCTCAAGGTGAAACAGTGAACCGTATTTACTGGCAAGGCATTTTACAAATCCATAAAAAGAGACCAGAGTTCTGGCAAGACAACTCAAGGTTCTTGCACCATGACAATGCACCCGTACGCTCAGCTTTGTCAATTTGTCAGCTTTGTACTAAAAATCAGATTACTGTCCTCCCTCTCCCTCCTTAACCACCAGACCTGCCCATTGCGATTTTTTATTTCCAAAATTAAAATCAGTGCCTTTTCAGACTGACACCAAAGCAAATTAGTCACAGATTTTAAAGACCATTTCAAATGAAGTTATACAGTTATACTACTCCACGAATTGGAAAAACCGCTGGGAAATGTATGTGAATAGAGGGGGGAGGGGAGTAGCAGACAAGGACCAATAACGTATAAAATTAATAAGTTTAAAAAAAAAGTTCGGTTATTTTCTGAACAGACCTCATAGGTCCAACTGACCAAAATTTTATTAAGATCATTTTCATAATTTTTCATATTTATCGCCATAGTACGTTTTGCGACATACATTTATGGAACATCCTGTATGACTAAAATATATCAAAAATTTTACACATATGATGCGTAATTTCCCTATTTCTCCGTATTTCACATTGATTCCTGCAGACACTGTTTTTGAAATATATGAAACCGGCAAAAATATGTGGTTTTAATTTTCTTGTTTTAAATTATTAGAAATACCCTATCCCTTTTTTGACATGCCTCAGAATAATACACGAAAACTTCCGTATTTCTCTTACATTTCCCTGCACTTCCCAAATATTACAATATTTAACTTGCTAAGTGTCTGTAGCAACCCTGTAGATTGGTTACATTATAGAAGTTTTATCGTGTGCCATTCAATAAAATGTACTTACAAACTTCCATATTTAATGTTGCGATCCAAAGTACGTTTGTAAGTTCTATGTTTCTGTTCGATTTGATAAGCCACCTCTCTTAATTGCTTTAAGATATTGCAGATGGTTTCCTCGCTCTGGGATATTTTTATAAACGCTTCCAAAGTCGTTATATGGGTTATGATCAAAGAATGAATCCTCTGCAAATCTCTTTCAGGGTCCAAGGTCATATGGTAGTTGTTGTCTGTTCGTGAAACCTCGCTACACCCAGGAGCCAACTCATTTGGTGATTTACAGCTAAAAAAAAAATAATATTAATGATGATTAAATATATTATTTATACAGGCTGTTACAAATTTGCTTCTCACTACAGGGATCTCGGGAATGGTAAGAGGTATGAAGTAGCTTAAATGGGGGCAAAGTTGCGTATTCAGGGGACGAACATTATGCCTCTAAAAAATCTAGGATAACATGATTAGTTTTCAAAATATTTGAAAAAAAACGAAATTTTGGAAATCCGTTTTTGTTTCATTTCAGCCTTGTTTGCGGTGATATTGAAAAAAGAAGAACACTCTCTCATGGCCACTTTTTTGACCTCTATCGAATGGCATAATCAATTTTTGTATATAACTTTTCGTCTCTCCAGGACCATAATCAACTTCATTTTTTTAAATACGACCCTAAAAATTTTATTACGTTTTTTTGCAAGCCTTCATGACCCCCAATACTGTACTGCCTTAGCCCGAACCAGATTCAGACGTTTTGTCTCGAAAAATTCATCTTCAGTGTATTCGTTCCAAATTTATCTAAACTTTTTATTTAGATTTCTTTGTTTATTGAATTATCGTACACTGTAAGTGTCGTTAGACCCTGTGAAATCCGTATAGTTATTTAAACTATTACCACCACGCATTAATATAAAACATTATTAGTTTTATTCCCGTGTCCATAGTTATTTCTAGGCTTCTCGAGTGCTCAAAATTCAAACAAATTCCGATCTATTTTTTTCAGGATATTCATACAAATAGGTACATCTGACATGTTCTTTCACAGTTGCGGTTACAGATATAATAAATTCCGATAATATTACGCTCATCTTCATTTTTCAACATTCGCCAAAACGAAAATGGTTTTGAACATTTACTGAAATTTTTTAAAGAATAATATTCAGTTGGTGTTTTAGTTGTTCATATGCATTTCTAAGAATTAATTTGTCACAATAAAATTAAAATTGTAATAATGTTTTAATTTTGACGCAACAACTTATTGAGTTATGTATGACCAAGTGATGGTAATAGTTAATAATAATAAATGTTTTATTGTATTACGTGGCGCTAATAGTTTAAATAACTAGATGGATTTCACAGGGTCTAACGACACCACAGAAAAAATCTTGCAAAACATGTAGTAACCGAGTTAAAGTTTACTCACAAAAAATTCAAAAAAATTCACATGCAAGCTGAAGAACAAGTGAAGATTTAAGGTTTCTTTGTCCCCCATCATAAATCCTACGTACTTTTACTTTTTTTAGATGACATTAGTGTTCAAAGCAGAAATGAATGTAAACAAAGAATTGCAGGTTAAACATTTCTTGTAGTGGTGACAAGAATAGACCGTAAAAACAGTTTTCAGAGCAAGTAGTTTGCCATATTACGAGGGTTGCCTTTTATATTTCAGGAATGGACGATCCTAATGCTGCCAACTGATACCCCTTTCGTAAAGTTCGACTTTATGTCAGTATACTTAGAAACCAACCGCCAAAGATGCATCATTCTCCATCAGGACAATGCGAGTTCTTACACAATATCGGCTCAAACAAGTTGAATTGATGAGTCATCTGCAGCCCTGATTTGGCACCCAATGACTTTTTTTTTATTCCCGCACATCAAAAATAAATTACGAGGCCAACGTTTTGCATGTGCCGGAGGTACCTCAATTCGAATGCAAGAAGTGCTTCGTAAAATTGGTTCAAATGTATACAAATCTTCATGGAGTATATTTTGAAAAACAATAAGCCATACACGATGATTCATTTCTTTTTTTGTTATATATTCCCGAAATATAAAAGGCAACCCTCGTATAATAATCATGAAATAGTAATTATTCAACATTCTAGTCAAAAATTATTTTTTTAAAGCCAATAACCAGTTGAATAAAAGGCAACAAGAGTAAAAAATTGGCCACATTTAACAGTTGATAATTAATAAATTTAATTTGATTTGATTTTTTTTTTTTTAATTTACAAAGTAGTACATAAACATATCTTATTTTATTTCATTTTCTGAGGTCTCACGGAAATGCCTAAGCTTGGTCTTTGCAATGGTAAGGACTAAACTATATAATTTTTAAATCCAGTCAAGAATGAAGATTCTCTTACAATTTCCAATTTTTTTTACTTTTTATTATTGTTTGAATGTTGTATTACTTCCCAATAAATAAATAAATGTTAAGAGAAAAACCCCACTTTTGATGATATGTATAATCTTACCATAACCATTGTCCATTGATGAAGGCCGACGGATGATATTTTTTCAGCCGATTTGCATTAGTTTGACAAATTTTGGTAAGCAAATCCACCCATTCCTTCTCTTCTACGCAGTTAGCTGCTTGTACATATAGCGCCCTCTCTGGCTGGACAATTTGAAACATATTTTTCATTTTGAAGGATGTTTCAGCCAGTCTTTCTACTGCTAATATATTTGAAAGGGGAATTTGGCACAAAGCATCTCGTCCTAGAATATAAATGAAAACTGCTACATAAATGAAAACAGGCAAAGTAAATAATCAAGAATATCTGCTGTTTTGTAAACGCAGTATAAAATTTGGCAAACTATTTGATTACATTCAGAAACTTACCCCTACTTTTGGAATAACTGAGATCATGAGTAGTGAGTTTGAAGTATCGCTGTTTAAAATTTTTCCTCCCAAATCTTTTTCTTCCTTGGGCTCTTTTGATCATAAGCCTAAAAAAAGTTCAAAATAACAAATTAAGAAAATTGTTTTAATAACGAACTGAAAAAAATTGAGAAACTTTACTTGCGCAATATTTGAACAAAAAAATATTGGGAGCTTTGTTTTTTTTTTCAGAAAGAAAATTTTTTATTTTATTTCTATCCTTCCAAATTGTTGAAATCGCAGTGTGACACGCCACATTGTTTTGCTTGCTTGTATTAGTTTCTCTGTTTTTTAATCTCTATATCATGGTGATTTTTTTCTTTATTAAATACTTTTCTCTTCGACAGCGTGATGGAAAGTGGTAATTAATACAATAAAATAACGTAGTATGCGTAGATAAGTCATAATTTGTCCCAAACGTACTAACTGATTTCAAAAGCGTGGATGCCGGCGGGGCGGGCGGAAGAGCCATGCATTGGTTTTAAGGCCATATATCACTATTGGTCATTTTAGCTAGATTTGTTATATAGATATATACAGGGTGATTCAAAAAACCGCTGACAGACTTCTAGGATAGATAATACATACAAAATTAAGACGAAAAGTTTTAATAAACATAGGGTCGCAAATGCCTCCTTAACGAGATACAGGGCGTCAAAATTTCTGTAAAATTACTTTTCGTCTTAATTTTTCATGTATTACTTACCCTAGAAGTCTGTCAGCGGTTTTTTGAATCACCCTGTATAGATAGATATAGTTATAGTTATGGTAGTAGTTATAGTTATTAGTAGTATTAGTTATAGTTAT